TAGCTTGAGGGTATTCTTGTACTTTGTGTTTATATATATATATATATATATGAGTTTGAGTTTAGTTGTGGAACCTAACACACTACTCTCTTCCTAACCCTAACAATTTCACAACTCAACTCTTTGAGGGAACCTTTTCGCATTTTATGAGATTGCAAGATAGAAAAAAAATATTTACAGAAAAGTTACTGGATTTAACAAAGTCCAAAGTCTGTGATCATCAGAAATAGAGGGAGAGCTATAAAGAATACCAAGAAACGAAATCAAGTCCTCTGTTTCTCAGTTATTTAGATGGCTAAATAAATGGAAACCTAAATGTGGGAGGAAAGCAGACAAAGACATGGAGAAACATTTTTTAAATGGTAAACAACCTTCCCAAGTATCCTACCAAGATAAAATATTAGCCCCATCTCCGACCTTACATCGAATCAAAGGAAAAAATAAATTATATACTTATAAAATGAACTTCCAATGATCATATGGGTCACGTTACGCCCTCTCAAGATTGTATTCAATCCTAATAATCTCATGCCAGTGGGAATTAATTTTAGATGGGAATTGTCATAACCATTTACCTAGACGGTGAAATGTTTTTAGACACCACCATACAAAGTCCCAAACCCCTTTCCTCTCTAGGCTCGCACACTATCTCCCAAATTACTAAATCTCCCATAATTGATTAAAGAAAGTTCTTCAACATCATTTACCCTAAAAAAAAAAAAATAAAGTTCTTCAACATCTTCGCTAAACTTTTAGAATCAAGTACATGGATTCCAAACAAAGACAAATGACATGGTGGAATAGTAGACAAGCAAGCCTTTTTCAAAGTAAACTGTCCACTAAGGAAAAGTGTTCCATTTTCCAAACATCCATTCTCCTAACTACCCCATTAAAAATTGGAACCCAAAAACACAATGACCTCAGATTACCCCTAGTGGCAAATGTAGATAATTCATAGGGGACACATGAAAAAACACAACCTAGTGAAAAGAAAATTGTCTCACGAACTTCTCCTCCTCCAAATTAATGCATGTAACTCCACTTTTGGACATATTTATTGTTAACCCAAATTTTTTTCTAAAAAATTGAAGCAACAAAAGTACATTCTTAAAGCCATAAGTATTTCCTGACAAGAGAAAATATATCAGCAAATTACCAATGCGACCTAGTTAAGCCCATCTCTTCGACTCTGATAACCATCCTAGTCGAATGATCAGCCAACAAGGTGATCAGAAAAGGGAAGAAGGGTGCCCTTTCTTTTTGGTTGCATAACGCATTGAACCCTAGCTCAATTCTCCATTAACCAACATTGAGAGATTAGAAGAATAAACTCAACCCTTTATCCACTATTCTTGCCCCAAAACCTTCGTATCGTCAAAAAATCTACAAATTCCAACATACCAGACCATAAGCCTTCTTTTTTTTTTTTTGGGATAAGTGACCATAAGCTTTCTTAAAATCCAAATTTAAACATGTTAACTTGAGAGAATTAACACGATATTAGAAAAAGATAGAGAGTGGTCAAAAACTTAACCTAACTATAAGACGAGTACGACTCAATACTTTGGTAAACATATTTGCAAGCCGAAGACAAAAAAAGTAATGAAGAAACAAATGATCCAAAGACTCCGCTCCTTTCTTACAAAGAATACACCATTGAGGTTGAAGATAAAATGAGGATTCAATCACTTCTCTATCATTCAAATTTCTAAAGAAATCAAAGTTCCAACAAATCGTGGAAGAGAAAGATGAGACTATAGTAACAATAGATGAATTATAAGATCTAAATAACCAATATAAATGAGAAAATATGTACTACTCACCCCACCCCCCCCCCAAAAAAAAAATAAATAAATAAAATAAAATAACATTTTTGTGAGAAAGGATCTAATCCTTGAGAAATGAATTTCAACGGACAACGAAAGCATCCTCCCTCACTCACATCGGAAATCCATCATTTCTTTCGATTAGTGTATGCCATAAACTATTAAGCTCTTTGGGATATTTCCAAAGCCATTTGCCATGCAAGAACCTCCCCCCCCCCCCCCCCCTTTTTAGATTTAGATAGAGAAACCACATTCTAGTTAGCTTTTTTACCTTCACCACTATATTCACATAAAAAAATTCTCATCATTTTCACAATCTTAAGGTCATCTTAAACAAAGAATATAATAAATGGGGCTACTTTTGAGCACATAATGAATAAGAGTAAGTCTCCCCTCCCTCACAAAAGAACTTTATTCCAACCATCAAGTGTTTTACCAATTTTGTGAATTATTGGCTACTAAAAGCCAAGGGCTTTTGGATTCCCCCCTAAAGGTAAACCCAAATACTTTAGAGGTCACTCCAAGACAGAGCAACCTAAAGCTTGAGCCAATCTAACCAAATTGTCACGTTGCACATTAATCCTAGTCATTACACTCTTTGACAAGTTCACTTTAAAGGCCAAAACCAATTCAAAACATTTTAAAATTAAGGTAATTGATTGCAAAATCAATTCATTCCCATCACAAAAAAATATGGTGCCATCAACAAATTGAAAGTGGTTCATCTCTACTCTGTCCCGACCAATACTAAAACCCTCAATCACCTCCCTACTATTAGCTCTATCCATCATGCTACTCAACACATCAACCACCAAAGTGAACAGAAAAGGAGAGAAAGGATCTCCTTGCCTAAGACCCCTATTAGCTCTAAAACAACCTCGTGAAGCTCTATCAATCCTAATGGAGAAATTCACCGACCTTAAACATCCCATAATCCATTTTCTCTAACTCATGCCAAAACCTAGGGTTGTCCTTGGGTCGGGTTGGCCCACAGATCCCATTACCCAACCCGAAAAAAATTAACCCGAAACCTGATATGCCTAATAATTAGCCCGCCCAAGCCCGTGCCTAATATCCTTTAAGAGAGGGCTTGAGCTTCTCTTAAACCTATTATCTAGCCCAAAACTCGACCCATAAGCCCTCCCGCAAAAACCAGTTAAAACCCTGCCCGCCCGCCTTTCCACCCAAATGTTTGAAAAAAAATTAACTATTGAAACTTAGAAAATTTGGTGGCAATATATAAACCTAATTGGGATGTGCTCATACTATTGTGATACAGTTCCTCTCCTATTCATTATTTATTTTTTATCCATTTTAACTCTATTTTAAATTCAAAAATATAATTTATAAAAATATTAAGTTGAAAACTTTTTAAATAAACTTGTATATATATAAAAAAGGCCCGTCCAGTGAGCGACGGGTTAGGATATGGGTAACTACCCAAAACTCGGCCCGACCCAACCACGAACTCACCCGAGAAAGAGTTTGGGCCTACCCTACCCAGGCCCGGCCCATGGACACCCTACCAAAACCTTTCATTTTCAACACATACTCCACCATATTGTATGTTTTTTCAAAATCAACTTGAACACAAGACCATCTTTTTTTTCTCCTTATACTCCACAATTTCATTTGCAACAAGCAATGCATCTAAGATTTATCTTACTCTAACAAAAACACCTTGAAAAACTGATCTAGTCTCATGTAACACTTCCCGTATTCTACTAGAAAATACTTTAGCCAAAATCTTATAAAGGTCCTCTTATTGGATGAAAGTCCTTTACCAACAAGGACCTCTCTTTTTTTGGAATACGACAAATAAAGGTCCCATTAGTGCACAAATTGGAAACTCCATTCTCAAAGACTTTCAACAAATCCCCCTTTATCACTTTCCAACAATTTTGACATATGAGCATAGTAAATCCATCCAGACTCGGGGATTTATCTCCACTTAATTCAAAAGCTACAGATCTAATTTCATCTTTCTCAAAAGGTCTCTCAAGCCATCTAGACTTAGTCTCAGTTATAGGACATCAATCTACACTTTAATACACGGTCTTGCAATGCCTTCAAAAGAAAAAAACTTAGATAAATAGTTAGAAATCTCTTAATTAATGAGGTCCTCACTCTCAAACATTCTCAATTCAAGTGATCAGCTTTTTCTTCAAGTTACCATTTGCAGTTTCAAGAAACAACTTCGAGTTACAATCACCCTCTTTGATCCACTTAAATTTTGTCTTTGTCTCAGTTTGTTTCTCCTTTCACAAACACACTTTTCATATTTGTTTCTAAGATCACATTTTTCTCTACTCAAAATTTCTAATATCCACTGAGTTTTTAGGTCAATCAATGTTCTTAATTCTTTTCAAAATTATTTTTTTCTTCAATCTATCATCACCAAACACCTTTTTGTTCCATTCCTTCAAGTGTTGTTCACCAACTTCAATTTATTCATGAACTCAAAACCTTCCTATCCCTCCATGGCTCCACTCTAGCCTTAGACCACCATTCTTTAAAATTAGTAGCAAAGGAGTGATGATCAACCCACATATTCTCAAATCTAAAAGACATGAACCGTCATTTAAAAGTGGATGTATCAAGAGACATGGGGCAATGATCAGAAGCAACCCTAGTAAGAAATTCTTGCCTCATGGAGGGGAAAATCTATCCAACCTACTGTCATCTCAAAATTTTTATCCTAGAAATTAGACAAATTAAAGTATGCATCCAACAAAGGTGGGTCAATAAAATTGCAGTCTCTAATGAATCTATCAAACTTCCTCATACTAGTGGTATTCCTCACCAGTCATCTTTTCAGAAACTGATCTCACTACGTAAAAGTCTCCCCCTAATATCCACCTTGTACTACACAAGCTATAAAAGTTATAATGTTCATCCCATAAAGCCTTCCAGGGTTACTAGGATCATACACCCCTGTCAACCATTATTCACCCTTCTCCTGATTCTTAATATATGTTGCCACATAAAAATTTTCTAACACCACCTAAATCCCGGCCAAAAACTAATATCCCAAATAATCAACACACCTCCTGATCCACCACAAGAAGGCAAAAAAAAACAATCCCTATGTCTAAACCACCATAGACTTTTAATTTTCCTTAACGATTCGTTAACCACCCTCTTCTTCTTACTTTTCTCCCATCCTCTCATAGTCTAAATATCTTCATTAAACAACATAAGTGCCCCAATCTCCTTTCTAGAGTTTGCTCCCGTATAATTCACATTCGAAATTAAACCCCTAAGCTCTCGGATCCCACTATATTTTTGACCATTGGTTCTTGCACCTTTTCCTCGACCCCTACCTCTTCCTCGATCATGAACCAAGGAAAGTCCTAACGTACCCAAAAAAAAAAAGAAACTAACAATATTTTATGCTGAAATCATGTGACAAAGGCAAAATGGGCAATGAAAACCAGTAACTAACCAATCTCTTAATATTCACGCTAACACAGGGACCACATGCAAGTTTTTCTAAATTCCATCTATTTCTACCACAGGCCCCAAATTCCGATTACCTTGATTAATACTGCCATCAATTGCACCATTTATTCCACTACCTTGTCCCTTGCCACTACAAAGCCGAGGTTTGAATTTTGAAATATCCCCCGCTAATTCAAGATTTGGATCAATAGTTGCATTAATGATATAACCATTGCTGTTAACACTCGACCAAAATCCCGGGATTAAGACCAAAAAATTAGGTATTGAAATAGCACTCCCTCTTCTAGACTTACAACCTTTTTGTGCTACATTGTCCCTTTCGCTGCCACCTACCTCCACCTCTTCACAACATCATCTCCAAACTCTGAAAGGGTACAAAATTCTTGTACTGCCTTTTTTATGCAAATTTTGACAGGAGCAATGGAAAGCAAAATTCAATAGTGATATTACTCTCTCCCAGTGTAAACCTTGCCAACTTTCGGTCTTGCCAGTAACAAGTTACTCATCTCTTGTGTATCAAGATCAACCTGAAGGAGGCCACTGCACCATTCGCCTATTTTGGTGAAGACATCATTCTTCTACATATTGAAAGACAAACCTTCCATTTCAATCTACCCACCTAAGAAAGATACTCTACTTTTTTTCCGCATGCACACCAAGACACCATCTTTGCAAGTGCACCACTAAAGAATCCTCCAAATTAACAAAATTCATCTTTTCTCATCACCTCAGCTATCTCTGCATTATCCAAAAAAAAAAAAAACTTACCAACCTGGAATAACTTAAGCACAATCTTGAAATTACACAAACTTTGTTAGGCACTTTGAATTTTCTTCAATGGATGGAAGATATCTCCCAAACACACCCCACTGCATATTGTCACTCTCCGATCTCTATTATATTTGAATGCAAATGAAAAGAAGTCTTTACTTTGCTACAATCCGGTATCAAATGATTTTTATGCATCAAAGCATTTCTATAAAAAATAGGTTACACTTTATTTGTTCAATCAAAGATTTCACTTCTATGGAAAGCAAGCAGGACTCTAGCCAAAATTACCCATCCCATTCTTCCTTACCTTGAGGAACTATAATGAAATCCTATTTCCAAAATTTTGAATGCATGAGACAGATATAAATTTTCAATGAGAAGTTTCACCAACCTCCATCCAAAGGCAGTAGGAATTGCCCCTAAATTTCCTGAAGAAAGTATTCTTACTTTTACACTTTGCAATCTCCATCAGTAAATTGCCCAACCATTGTCCCATTTTCTCCCATGGTTCAAAGTATCGGCCGAGTCGGATACGATTCGAAACCTACCAAGATAATACCGTTACACGATACATATAAACCCCCGAATCTCGCACGACTCGGCCGATTCATCTGAGTTGTATTCGAGTCAATTTCGAGTTGCCGAGTTGTCGTCTTTGAATCGGCCAATACGGTTAACTAATACCATGGTATGACATGAACCTCTCATCATGTACGACATTTTCTTTTAGGTCGTATCGCCCAATATTGTGTCGCGATAGCACAACCAATGTCTCTCAGAGCTTTCCTGGTCGATGGCCAATACCGCAACTTTAAACCATGTTTCCACCCACTGGGTAAAACTTCTGTTGAGAGTATAATAACTATTATATTGTTTCTATAGTTGTGATAAGTATACCTCTCTAAGGGTATACTAGTCTTTTATGTTTTCCTAAGTAACTATAAATACAAGTTGGGAATAAGAGGTAGGTCACGTTTTTTACTACTCTCTTTTTCTCTCATATTGTTTTTCTCTCCATTCTCTAAACTTAACAGTTTTATTTTGTAATCTTTATTCCATTCCCCACAAATCTTCATCTAACCTCAATGAAGAAAAGCTTCTACTCAATCTAAATTTCACAGTCGAGCTGAGAAAACTTCTTCATCTTCTTCCCTTTTCTGTTTATGGTTTCTTCAATTAATGATGCAACTTTTGCTTCATGGTTTTATCCTCTTTAGTAGGGGTTTGATCAGATTGTGCCATTGTAAGATTGATCATGAGACAAACTAGTGAATGGTTACTGGGCAAACTTGACAATTTGCAGCCAAATTTGGGCATGGGTGGATGTTGATTGTTAATGAAAGAGAGAGACTTTGGCAGGGAAGACATGAGAATAAAGACTGTTAAAAAGCCTCGAGACCTATTTACACGGTATAAGTAATTGTGGAGTTCTGATTATCCTCTATGGTGTCAGCTGCCAATTTTTCGGGCAGGAACGGTACAATACTCTGCCCTTGTTACAGATACATATGATCAAACCATGAGATCTATCAAATTGCCAATAATTATTCAAGCACGCCTTCCAATACCCTTTTCAATGCCTTTCTAACTTCCCTCATTAGTGCCATGAACTTATATGCCTTTACAAAACAAGTAAAGAAGCAAACACATACCAGAAAGCAAATGTTGCTGCTGATAAAGTCATTACACTATATACAAATGGCCCAGCAATTGCGTCTGCAAGCCTTTGTATAGGTGCTTCCCGGCCTTGAGCATCCTCTACCTGAAAAGAACAAGAGAGGAGACCCATAAATAGTAGAAACTAGTAATCACATCTACTGTAGGGGCTGATTACTAGTGTTTGCGTGAAAGATTGGGCTCCAAAGCATGAGCAGCATTGACTCTAGTAGGGAACCACAGTGTCCATAATGCCCAATGTTCAACTCTCGATTAAGTCACTACTGAAACCAGAAAAAAAAGATCCAAAGGAAATCCACCCTCTTTGCACCCGCATTGGTGGGCCTAGCACAGGGTAATGTCATTTGTTCACAGTACAAGATTTCAAAATCTCCATGGCCCCGATGTGGTGAAGCCTCGATTGGGCAAAAAATGAAAGAATATGGCTTATAATTCCTTTTTTGAAGAAAGGCTGAGCCCAAGGGCCCAATCATATGCCACCAATCTACAACAGAACTTGCACCAATGACTCAACTTTGTATGCATCATTAAAGAATTAAATGACTGACCATGTGAACAATCTTAGTTATTGTTGAGTTAGAACCAGTGGAGGCGGCTTCAATCCTTAAAGGACCATCCTGAAACACAACAGTAACAAGACATTTTCAAAAAAATATAAGGCTAAAGTGAACACCAAAAAACATGTGAATGATTTTAATTTCATGAGGATCACAATGAGGAAAAAAAATTAATCAGCATTGACGAGCTACAAGCAACAGTGGCGCTATTTAACATCCAACATATACAACCAACACAACTGCCTGATGTAGACACAGATATTCCTTAAGAGTTCAATTCTTCTCTCTAAGATGTGCAAAGAAGTCAGTGGCCCACGACAGCCACAGAAAGAAGTTATGCTGGTATATATTAAATGGAAGCACAAGCCAACCTGCTTTTGTGTGTTAAGTCACTTGTAAAGTCAATTCTCCAAGGTACACAGAACAATCCCTATCCAATTTACTAATTCAGCAATACATTGCCACCTGTTTTTGAAGTTAACTAAAAGCACTACACTGTTGGCTATTTGTTGTCAAGCATTGACATCATAATTCCATTCTGGTGGTGGAAAGATGATCAAATCCTTGAATTGCCAACATCTCCAGACCAGAAATTATTATCAAACCCATTTTGAAATAATGTTTAAGATATTATAACTCTGAACATGAATAGTTTCATACCCAATTTATTGTTCCAGCTGAGACTGAAAGGCCTCTTTCCTTGAATACGGGCAGGGATTCCCCAGTAAGCATGGACTCATCCACCACACTTCGTCCAGCAAGAACTCTTCCCTGTGTAGGCAGTTAAATTCTCATTCAGCAAGCAAACCACTATATTCTATTTCTATAAACAGAAAAAATCTACCCAGCAGGGTTGTTCGCAATCGCAATTCTACAAGGAGTACTATGAATTGGAAAACACTATAAAATTCCCATCAATTTTCGGGACAATGTCATGGTATCATGTTTGGGGAAGTTCAAGGCCATTTCGATGACAGGCTAAAGCAATACCAATGTTTTTTAGTGCTACCACGAGTTTGCGTAATTTTAAACTCAACAAATCCACTTGTTAGGACTTAGGAGTAGCATTATGTCAGTATTGCAAACAGCACAGTAGTAATATCAGCATTGGTAATGGAAAATCACTTAATAGCAAAGTGATTTTAAGGCAAACTCTTACCTGTATATGGATTATAGTTACTATGACATTTTACACCAGACAAAGATTAACAGGGGTTTAGCATAAAAGTGATCCAAATTTTTTTGTCATACAATTAACATAGCATAAGGTGCTAATTGAAGAGTTCCAGGTCTTATTTTTCTAGATTTAAAAAAAATGGAATAGTGCAAACAAACAATTCAAAAAACTTACATCTACAGGTATAGTCTCTCCAGGCAAAACCAGCACTGAGTCTCCAACTCGAATGTCATCAGTTGGGACTTCAATACAAAATGCATCAGAGCAAAGCACGCTGTCAGGAGATGCATCACTTCCAGAGGGAGTGACCACAAGTCGTGACTGAGTGGATATCAATGACTGCATAAACAACCCGGTGGTAGTATGTAAGGAAAGGGTTTACAAGTAACAAAATCACTCAAGTAAAGGGAAGTAGTTAATTATAATACTCAGAAATAGATGTAGAGTTGAATTCAGAGTCCCCATTGACATCAAAGAAGCAGCAGTCATTAGTTCTCCAGAAGGTATAATAAAATAACAGTAATATATTGCAGATATTATTCGCAAACTAGAATGTATTGAAAAAATTAATAATGAAGCATAGATGTAGATAAGCAAATAATATAAGGGACTCAATTTTGTTACTAACCATAAGAGAAGAAACCACAAAAGAAATCTCTCAAATTAACATGCCATGCTATCAATGTAGACTATCGTTTTGGATGTATTAAACTTTAAATGATTGCAATTTGATCTGCAGTAGAATTTTGCACAGTTTTTTACTGTGTCATATAGGATCAAAATTTCGTTTCGGTGTATTATTTTGATTATCTAGGAAACGGAAATGTTTCGATATGTTTTGAAAACATTTCGATCCGTTTCAAAAACATAATGAAAAAAATAAAAAATTTAGAATAATTTTTCTAAAACATTGATTTAAATATATCAAAATATCTTAAAATAACTTAAAACATTTTGAAACAATTTTGCAAATGCATTAAAATATTATAATACATTTCGAAACATTATGAAATATCTCGAAATATTAGAATTTCGATTTCATCACTGATTCGTTTCTGTCTCTTTGAAAACGGAAACGTTTCGGACGTTTCGACCATTTCGAAACGATATTTTAATCCTTAGACTCATATCCTGATAACATATCATGTCCTTGCAGTGTCGTATTTGCTGAGCTAGGCTGGATTTAATGCATAAATGGCATCAAATTCATCTAGTAGCAATACACTAGCTGCCAATGCAGAGCAGAAAATTGCAACATTTGGCTAATGCCCCTTCAACTTTCGCCACAAGTGCAAATCAACATGCACCGACAATAGCTACAAAGAGAATAGAAGAAGAAAAGAAAACTGGCTACTATAGGGAAAACAAGCACTTTGAGAATGTCATGGGAAACTTAAATATGGGCTTCTTTCCAACACCCATTGATACGCATATGACTTGTTTTATTCTCTCCAACAAAAATGCTTATATATGTAACACTTGAGGCCCCATTTTCCAAGTGGACAAAGTGATGCACAACGAGAAGGAGAAAAAAGAAAAAAAAATGTGCAGAGAAAGAACCAAATTCTCAATAACTCACTCTCTAATAAAAAACAGAGGTTATGTTGTTTCTTTATAGGGTAAATCTCCCGCCAAAACAAAAATTACTCTCCTATTAAAAAGCTATCTAAAAAATCCTAATCTAATAAATAGCCTCTAACTACATGACCTAAATAATAAATTATAAAAAGAATAATGATAAACCCTAATAAAACTATCAATTACATTTCCCTTTGGACCAAAACACCACTACTGCACAGAACTTCAGTTTGCTGTCTATGAGACATATATATATATATATATATATATATAGCACCATAATCCCACAAAACCTTGGTTTTTGCCCTTCTTTGGAAATGATCTATCAGCTGGACATGTACCCAAAACAGCATTGATCATAGAATCTGCAAATAAAACAGTTTAATGATTTTGATGTATTGTTTATGCATTGTCAGTTTGATTTTTAGACATTGTATTCATGTTAAGGGGTATATTCGTATTGGTATCATAAAAGTGTCAATCAAGTTGACATTAACAACCCGAACATGACACGTTTAACATACCAGTGAAACTAAACACAACGTGATTAACTACTCATGTCAAAATCTCTAATCCAAACCCACTAATTTCATTCATATCAGATTAAGTCGTATCCAAAATTGTCACCCCACTAAGTATAGAGCCAGGGACCTTACTAAGAGGAATTCATGATTAGCCAAGATGAAGCTCTTAGTTTTCACAAAAAAAAAAAATTAAGTTGGGTGATTTCAACAATATATTCTAGAAATAAATTAGATCAGAGGCATATGGTTACTTACTAATAATTCATTCATGTCACTAGATGCACGCAGCCGTGCTCTTTCTTCGAGAGAACGTCCCAGGAGTACAAAACCAAGAAGCATGACCTGCATACTAAAAAATAGTAAACCTGCCTGAGAAAATTATGAAAAAAGATAAAGAAATAGATCCGACATACTTGTTATCATATAAATATAGGATCACCACTAATAAAGATACAAAACATGAAAGGTGACTTTAAGACATCCAACAGTTTAGTCATACTATAGGTTTAAAGGACTACAGACAACTATAAACGAGAAAAATATAATAAATGATGATAATAACAATAACAGTTAGTGTACCACGTTGTTTACACTGTTCCATTATTATATATGCATTAAAACCCTGAAAATAACGGCACTGCTATAGAGCAATATGTTGGAAACTGGATCCTCACCAAGGACAAGGAGAATCACAACTTTCAATGGAACAATATCACGATCTAAGACTCATGTAGATCACAAATAGCTTGGGTTGAGCGCCAAAGGATTGGTTAGAGACTTGAGAGCACATGCAAGCAAAACCAAACTAACACGAGGCAAATACCGAATCAAATATCCAGTGCACACCTTCTCTAGCACTTTTATGCAACAAAAGGTCCTAAAAAATCAAACACTAACAACAAAAAGCTAGGTTAGTGCAATGCAGCCTAATCTAAGAAGCATATACACTCTTAGAAGGTGACACATGCATGTCAAACACGTATCCGATACCAAGGATTAAAATTTCGTTTCAGTGTATTGTTTCAGTCACCTAAGAAACATAAACATTTTGACGTGTTTCGGAAATGTTTCGACCCATTTCGAAAATAAAATGAAAAAAAAAAAAAAAATAAAAAATTATTTTTTCAAAGTATTGATCGAAATATACAAAAATATCTTAAAATTACCTTGAAACATTCCGAAATAATTGAGAAAATTTATTGAAATATAACAAAATATTTCAAATTATTATGGAACACCTCGAAGTATTAGAATTTCGATTTCATTATTGATTCGTTTTGGTCTCCTTGGAAACAGAAACGTTTCGATTTTTTTGATTGTTTCGAAACAATATTTTGATCCTTATCCGATACTCTTTTATCCATATCCATAATTAAAAGATAAAATTTTAATTACGGACAAGTGTCTAACATTTCTTTAGTCCATGTTACTATAAGACAACAAACATATCTTTACCAATAATTAACAAAACTAAAAAATTTGACAAATGAATAACTTATAATATGAGAAAATATATAATTGTTAAGATTAAACAGGTTAAAGTTGTCCTTACAATTTATGAACAAAAGCAAAAGATACATAAAATTTTTGCTAAAGAAAAGTAATTGAGAATATGAGAGCAATCATTGTAATTATTCATTTTTACTACACATTGTCTATCACAAGTTTGGTGATTATTCACTACTATGATCCTTTAGTCTTAAAATTAACTCTAGATGACTAAACATAAGATTAACTTGCCCCAAAATATTGATTTTTTATGAATAATTCCATCATTCTTTTGATACTTGTGATAAATTAAATAATTTGCATATAAAAGATAATTACTTGTATCGTGTCCCCTAATGTGTCCATGTCATACTTTTTTTGGAAATGTTGTATAAGACCATATATTAAAATTAAAGAAGGATAATATTATATTAAGAGTTCTCCTAAGTTGAATATAATGATGGTTGAAAATTAGAATCATTGTTAAAAGATTGATTATGAAGTTGAGCTTCAAAATTATTGACTTTCACGATAAATTATGTTTTGGAGATGTTTGAACTTGAGAAGGGTAGCTAAGTAATTTTATAAATATTTTTAGGGCAAAATAAGGTTTCCATTGAATTTGGAAGGTTGAAAAAATCTTGGGAGAGGTTATATGGGGTATATTAAAAGTTTGAAAGTATTCCGGAGTTAAAACCTATTTTGGAAAAGATTTTGGATAGGAAGGAATTTGACATTATCTTAATATTTGGATTAAAACTTTCTACCTTGATATCTGATTGACATGAAATTTTAACAATAGAAACTAGACTTACAGGGGTACAAAAGTGTATCACGAAAATTTCGTAAATCAGCCTCTAACAAGGTCAAAATCAAGATGGAAGTCAGAAGCATACTATTATCCGCACCCATACGGAAATTCTCCGTTTTTTAGCCTATAAATACCCTAGAGCCACGACCTAAAGTATCTTTACTTATCTTTTCAACCCCAAGAAGCCTAGAGAAGTTTGACGAGAAGAAAAAGAGGAAGAATGAGCTAAATCTTGAAGAATTAACACGTAGTAATCAAAATAAAATACGTTAGGATCAAAATCTCAAGAATCAAGGTAGGAGTTTCTTCCTAAATTTGTTCATTGATGATAGAGTTAATATATATGTATGATTTGATTCTAAATCGTATATATATGTTATAAAATCATTGTTTCTTGATTTTCTTGCAAATCGTGTTATGTCTTGAATAAGGTTATCATTTGATAGCAATAAAAACTCTCGTTCATGTTATCAAAACCCTAATTTTCAAGAAATATAGATTTTACACTTAATATTCCATTGTTCTTGATTTAAAAACTCTAAAACAAAAAAAATAATACTTCTTGATAATCTCTTGCATATTTTCTTGAATTGTTCTGTTAGAAAAATACATGTAGAATTATGGTTCTTGGCTTATCTATAATTTGGTGAATTGCTTTGGTATTGTATCTCTTGTGTGGATATTTTGATGAACATACGTGACCATTGATGAGTTTCTTACTCCAAGTGAAGTTAAATGTTCCCTACCTCTCGTAGTAGGTTAGTGTCTCGCAAGGATCAAACTATTATTTGCTCACAGGTATCGAGGTTGAAGACTAGTATACTATTCTTGAGTTAGATTCATCACTGCCAATGCGTCGGTATATATCCTTCCCAAAGTTATGTATCCTTGCAAGGATTAGGTGTATGTGTGGGCCAATATATTCTCTATGTGTGCATTCATACTAAATCTTACTACATACCTGAGATACAGTATTAATAATAGTTTATTGTCTAAAAGTTGATTTTGCTTCTTCATTTAATTTATTGCTAATATGTAAACTTGAGATCTGATGAACTGTCACTGTTTTATTTTAAAATTTATATATGATATTTTGTAAAATAAGACCGACCTATTTTATATGTTTTCAAAACCTTGTTCAAACTTGGGAGAATTTTCCTACGGAACTTAGTACTCACCCCATATAAATAACATTTTTTTTAGATTACAGTCTAGAGGAAGAACTCTGATTAGATGAGCACATAAATTAGGAAGCTCATACTGATGAAAACGTAGATCCCGAGGTGGACGTTTAGAGATGTTTTCTTTATGTTCTACATTAGAAGATTAATTATGAGACAATGTTAAGGACAGTGTTTTGAAGCGCTCGCCTAGGCGAGAAGCGAGGCGAGGCGAGTTTATCTCGCCTGGAAGACCCCAGGCGAAGTGAACGTGAGCGAAGCGAGAAAAAAACGAAAAAAAGCGAAAAAGTGAAGAAGGAAAAAAAGCGAACGCTTTATTATAAGAGGCGATTCTGTTTCTTTTCTTTTTTTTCTGATTACATGTTAGTAGTCTCTTTTATTTTTTAATCACTAATGAATTTTTTTTTTCGACTATTGCTGGTCTATTTTATTTTATTTTTTTTCTAATAAACAATGTTTCGAACAAAACACATTCTTTTTTTTTTTCCTTGTATTGCTGAATTCATTTAGAATATTTGTGGGATGTGGAAGTCAGGCAACTACATGACAAAATTATGATAGAAAAAAAAAGCAGGAGTATCAGGAATGGGGGTAAATAATAGAGTCTTCTACAAAGAAGTGTTTCTGATATGTCTTGGTTATACTTTTCCCTTTTCTTATATATATACAAATGGTACCAAAAAATGGTCTATGCTTATACCATGTTTAATTATTTTAGTACATGTGAAATGTGTCTCTGTTCTGTTTTTTTTTATTCAGTACATAATTACATATGAAATTGTTTACAATTGATTCTGCTCCTGTCATGATCATTGTACTACTGTTTTTTTTTTTTAGCTCATTTTGCTTCTATTTTTTTTTGTTGATTCTGTTGCTGCTTCGGTTTTGTTGTCCAGTGTTGCTTCTGTTTTTTTTTATCCTTATTCTGCTTCTTTTTTTTTGTTGCTGATTCTGCTGCTGTCCTGATTCTGCTTTTTTTGTTGTCCTACCCTGTAAATATGAAAATGTATACAATTGTTAGTATTTGTTTAAATTTAAATGTTTAAGTTATGACTGTTATTAAAATTTGAGATATTATTAGTGTTTGTTTTAATTTAAATGTTTATGGTTTTACTTGCATTTAAATATTTAGTATATATAAAATTAGAACTTAGATTGTTTAGAAGTAATTAAACTAAAATATATATATTTTTTAACTGTTCGTTTTGCTTCGGTAAAGCGTGTCGCTTCGCTTCTCGCCTAGGCGTTAGGAGCCTTGGTCACTTCGGTTCGCTTTACGCCTTAAATAACACTGGTTAAGGATAATATTTTATTTATTCCTCTATAAGACAATATTTGGTTTATGGATGTATTTGTCATGGCTTGGCATATTTGTTTTGGGGAACACTTTAATTATTATGGATGATGAATAAAATTTCTTTTATTTATGAATTTTATTAGTTGCTCTCATGATATGAATGGTTAAAGATAGTAATGCCTTTCAGGGTAGATTTTTGGGCGTTATATGTTGTGTCCACATGTCCGTGTCGTATTCTATCTGTATCTCGTGTCCGTATCCATGCTTCTTAGAGCCCAATAACAATACCAAAGGAAAATTGCAAAGAAAACATGGGTCCATGTTAAGTACAAGACATAATTAAGGATCGCATAAGGATTGATAGAGGAAATGGTCCTAGATAGAGATTAGAGCACTTAGGTGAAAAATGATTTCTAGTGTCCCCTCTTGAGTTTTCACCACAGCATCACTCACAAAATCAATTCAATCAGCATCACTTCTCATTGGCACTAACACAAGATTAGGAAAGATGCAAACAGCCTCTAGCATCACTGTGATGTCTATGCGTGTGGGTACATTCTTTGCATGTTTCTACTCATAACATTACATATATCACAGAAATATGAAAGAATTGCCGATTTGTTTTGGGTCAGCAAAAAGGTAAATTTACAAATTGCCAGTGAGGAAAAAACACCAGTTTTCTTTAAAGCACGCACTACGTAAATGATTTAAACTAAAGCCATGCAAGAAATAATGAAAGTAAAACAAACCGGCTCATCAAAGAATGATGCGTCCCATTCAAGCGCAGGATTAAGAAGAGAGACCTACAAGAGAGAACTGTTTATCTGTAATTCTAAACATATAAAACAAAACAAATTGAAATCATCCTATAAAGGGAGCTAAACTCCAACATTGTGTCCAGTAGAGTCTCACCGCACTAATGATAAATGCAGCAATGGATCCAAATCCGACGAGAGAGTTCATATTTGGCGATCCCTTTGTGAGGGCATTTAGACCATCAAAAAGCAAGTCTGCAACAATTTTTTCTTGCTCAATCAGCTAACTAATTACTTTGAGGTTCACCCTTTACAATATAGAGCCAATGATCAGCCCTTACACTGCACAAGATTACAATAACGGAAATAACTGCACAAAACACGTCTAAGGTGCAATTAACACTTGGGCCAACTGTATTAAAGAAGGATTTTGCCAGATAGATATGGTCGATCTTAATCTATCATAGAGCAAAATTCCAGGTTTGGCAACTTTTTTATCCATTGTTTGGTGTGTGTCGGTGGAGAGAGAACAAGCACTGACTTACCTTTAGGTCATAATAATATCAACAAATTTCCTCGATAGTATCAGTGATGACATGTTAGAAATAAATGAAGTAATAAATGATTTACTATACTTGCCAACACCAACTCATCTAAAACCTTAAACTTCTAAAGAGACTGTAACCAAGGACGGAGCCAAAATTTTACTCTTAGGGGTCCCAAATTTTATGTACTACGTAAGAACCATTTGAGTTTTTTCATAGTTTGATCAAATGGTCATCTGAGATAGATCCTACATCTTTTTAGTGCTAATTCAATATTTTAGTATTTTAATTTGACTCAAATTGAATCGTAATTCCCCGTAATGAGTTGTATCCTCACTTCTATCATGTAGGAAGTTTCGGTAGGATACTAAACTCGTTATAAGTCTTACCTTCATTTTATTAGGTTTTCATTCTCACAGACAATATTTTAATAGAAGCATTGGCGTATGTCACAACCTAATATAAGAGAACTTTATATCAAAAATTTTATGGCATAACAAGTGAAGGTACGGTACCAAAAAATTACTTTTTGGTATCATAACGGAGCAATATTATAGAGAAATAATTTTAACAAATATACAAGGAGGTGGAAGGGGGCAATTCTCTTTGACAACACACAGCTCCTTGAAGTACATAATATATATATATATATATATTGGGTTTGGGAAAATCACTGAGGACATGACCCATTTGGCCATAGGCTAGCTTCGTCACTGACTATAATATAAGTATCTATATACCTACACCCACCCCTTCATGTGGGACATATTTTGGACCAAACACATGCAAGTTTTATAGTTATTAAGTTGATGGCAAAACTTACACTATAGAGCGGTTGTTATATAAGTACTTGTATACTTTGAAAAATAACCCGAATAGATACACCCAAGGACAAAATTGTTTAAGAGTTTAGGGTGGCCATCCCCCCCCCCCCCCCTTCCTAAAAAAAAAAAAGAAAACTTTGCAAAACCCGTCTAGGTGTACTTCTAGTACTCCATCTGTTGTATTGGGCCCGCAACCCAAAGTTAGATTTCAAAGTAACAATAGCTTTATCTTTCATACAAACACCACTTGTTTCTCAGTAAAATAGTGTAGCACTAATCAAGTGTTATAAATATGTCATACTTTTTTATTCTTTTGTCAAAATATCACCCAAATCTCAAACAAGAAGAAAGTTATAAATCAAAGACTTTACATCAATACACCAAAAGCTCTCGATAGTGAAATATTAATAAAATAATATTAACTATATGTTGTTACTTGTCACGTTCGCATAGCGGCTCTCTCCCCATCCCACATCATAGTGTGGAGTGCACTGGCTCCAAGGATGGAACTATTCAATGGCCTAAGGGGACCATGGTCTTCCCATACTTCTCAAAACCCCTGTATGTATACTTCTAGTACTCCCATCTCCTATGCAGTGTATTGGCCTCTCACCCCAAGAGCATATTTCAAAGTAGTAATTGCTTTTTCTTTCACACCAATACCACTTGTTTCTTAGTAAAATATTGTACTACTAATCAAACATTATAATTTTGTGATACTTTTTTATTCATTTGTCAAAGCATCACCCAAATCCCCCGTGTAACAATAAGAAAGTTCAAAATCAAAGACAGAAATACACCAAAACTCTCAAAACTGAAATATTAATAAAAAAAATTTTACTATATGATGTTACTTGTCAGTTTCATAAAGCAGCTTTCTCCCCTGCCCATTACATAGTGTGGAGTCCACTGGCTTCAAGAACGGAATTGTTTAGGGGCCTAGAGTGGCCATACCAACCCCCCCCCCCCCCCCCCTTCCAAATTTTAGAATTAACAAAACCCCTCTATGTACACTTCTAATACTGCAGCTCCTGTGCAGCATCATGGCCACCACCCCAAGGGCAGATTTGAAGGTAGTAATTGCTTTTTCTTTCACACAAATACCACTTGTTTCTTGTAAAATTTTGTACTACTAATCAAGTATTATAAGTTTGTCATACTTCTATATTCTTTTGCTGAAACATCACCCAAATCCCCCATGTAACAATAGAAAAATTTTAAATTTAAGACGTTCTATCAATACACTAAAAGCTCTCGGAAGTGACATATTAATAAGATAATATTTACCATATGTTGCTACTGGTCAGGTAACAGAGTAGCTCTCTCCCTAGCCCACAATATAGTGGGGAGTCCACTAACTATAACCATTAGCTGAACACCACATGCACATGTACAATGACCCAATAACATGACAATCTTTGTTTCTATCTATGTAAACATTTGATTTGATTTTTAGGTGGTTTATTTTTGTGTCTTAGTACTTTAAACTTTTTAATTTGAATAATTTTAAGTAGTGCTTTTTCATTTTCGTCAAAGTTGTGTAATTTCATGGAATTATTAATGATTTCAAGGTGTCTTATAGTTTTAGATGGGAAAATTTTTACAATTAATACATTCTTCAAGAGAAAAAACTATTGCAAACCCAAGATAATAAATCATTGCCTTCAATTTTCACAAATGTTAAGATTTCGGATGCCAAAAAGTCTTCATTGAAATCTCAAATAATTGAGATTAATTATAAAATGCATACATTTTTCATAATGAATGAGTTTATGCATGCATAATTTGCCCCCCTCCAAAAAAATAATATCTTGATTCCGGCCATGACCGGCTCTAACCACCAGTTGAATCGTAAATCTACGATGGCCCAATCTTTCTAAACATATGATTTGATTTTAGATGGTTTCCTTGTGTCTTAGTTAAGTAGAACACCCGTTCTTAAACTATTTTAAGTAGTGTTTTTTTTAAATTTTCCTTAGAGTTGTGTAATTTTATGAAATTATTTTATGATTTTAAGGTGTTGTATAATTTTAGATGGGAAAGATTTTTATGATTAATACATTCTTCTATAGAAAATATATTGCAAATGCGGAAATTAATAAAATATTGCCTTCATTTTTCAATAGTGTAAAGATTTCGGATGGCACAAATTCTCCAATGAAATTTGCAATAATTGTCATTAAGTATAAAATTATGCATATATTTCTTGGTACGAGTTTATGTACATAGAATTTGGTCCCCCAGAGATAATATCTTGGTTCCACCCTTTAAAATTCTAGTCCTTAGCATTTTGTGATCTCATTAGAAAAAGCCAAAAACCTTGTGCAATATATACTCACAAGCACCAGAACGTACGGTGTTCTTGGACGGGAAGTCCTAGTAATAAAGTACTCCTTGAGGTCAATTGGACCAATTCAGCCAAGGTAACCAATTAAAACAATATACTGACATTATATACTCTAACTTAAATTTGGGAATTTTGAGGTAATAGAAGAAGGTCCAAAATAGTGTTTCTTGTTTCTGTAATATTCTGAATCTAGGAAGCACAAACACTTCATTTTGGACAGAGTGTCGGTGTTAGACACGTTTGGGACACGGACACACTCGGACGCATTAAAATGAGTGTTCAATTTTTTTATTATTAAATTTTTTTCAGGACACGTTGGGGACGCGGCCAACACACTCAAGACATGTTGGGACACACCCAGGACACGTTGGAGGACACGCCCAAGAAACTTTGGGGGACACGTTTCAAGATTTATTTTCAAACTTTTGAGAAGGTTTAAGATAATTTTATAATTAAGAGTTGTTTTTATAATTTTAAAGGGATATGAGTTACGGTCATAATGTAAAAGAAGTTATAATCATTACATTGAATATAGGACATAAATGTAACACAACTTTGAATATGAATACGAATTTATATACAAATGGATTTAATTTTTAACATAAAAGTAATGTGAGAAAAAATGGAGTTACAAAATTGAGGCTTTAAAATTTGATAAAAATTTGTATTAAGAAGTGAAATATATTTAAAAATAAAAGTTACAGTAGTCATTGATTGTTGGATCATGGATGTTAAGGTTGAATGTATACCAGTATATCTTATACTTTTTATACAGTGATATCATGATGTGAATTATTAGAATTAGGAAAATGATGAATTAAAAGATTATTATAACTTTAATTTTTCACACGATTATACATATATATATACATACATATTATTTAACGTCAATGTGTCTGTATCGTACTTTTTTGAAAAATTTCGTGTCAACATGCCCATGAGGGTGCTTAAAAGCTAGAAGTACAAAGTGTCCTTAATGGCATTGCTACTATCTAAATACAAAGTGTTACAAGCCTTGAACAAAGGCACGTTTGTGTCCTGTTAGCGGGTGTAACCTTAGAAGCCCCTTCTTGGTCAGACGGTGTCAGTGCTTGTTTGCAAAAGGCTACCACCCATCATTTCATAGGACAAAATTTGAAGTGAACTGCTGCAAGGAAAAATGAATTATTCGTTTGGTAGCCCTTTCTAGTATGTGTTTTTGCATCAATGTGATGTAGAGAGAAATGGATCCTCAAACAGTCAACAAAAACACAACTATATGGAACAAAAACAAAACCAAGAAGATAAAAAGCTAGAAGTAACTACAAACCTCGTCCGGGTCCCAACAGAGCCCCCAAAGCCAGACCACCTTTAACATATGAATTATGAAGCAGATCCAGAAATGACCCTAAACCAAAATTAAACTAAGTCAGAGTTAAACTAAAAGAAATTTTCTTTAACTACAGGAGCCCCTCATCGAAGCCCCTTATTTTGCTCTTTCAAAGAAAAATTGCAAACAAAACCATACACCACAATCCACATAAATAGAAACATATTAAGCAGATATAGACGTATGAGTAGAAAGCAAACATGTTGTGCAAATTGAAATACCATGACCGACATGAATGCCAAGAGAATGAAAAATGTGGGTAGCGTGCGATCCACAACACAAAGCCACCAAAGTCCACGCAAATGCCACCCGATTTCGAGTCTCGATCAGCAAAGCCTCCTTCTTAGCCACCATCTCCTTCCACTTCTTCACTTTCTCTTCAACTCCTAACCCCGAAACTCTCCTATTCGCAGGAAAGCCACATTCCGTAAGTCTTTTAGCCAAACCTTCCGCCACATCCCCAAATGTTCCAAAAACCTCCGGCTTCAATTTCACCGCCGCAGCAGTCTCGGTCAGCATGTTGACCACCACCGAGTCGACTCGATCGTCGGAAGAAAGAATCGACTTGACGCGTGACACGCAGGCGCCGCACATCATTCCGCTCACATCGAGAAGAACTGGAGAGTCATCTCTTCTTCCATCCTGTTGCTGAGATTCCGATGACGGAGCTTTGAATTCGACTGCCTTTAAGAAGATGAGATTGCGACTTCTCGGAACAGAGACTGGGCGGAAAAGGCTTAGACGACGTCGCTTGGGGAGAAGAGGATTGGAGTGAGTTTGAGGTGACCGTTGAGCAGTTGAGGTAATGATGTTGGCAAATGTGAGATTGGGGTGAGATGAGAGAGAGAACTGGAAGAGACCAGTTGTTGTCATTGAGAGAGAGAGAGCGATTGACAAGTGAGATTTCCGACGGGGAGAGAGAGAGAGAGAGAGCAAGGAATGAGATTTCCGGTGGATTTAACGGTGTACAATTGAGATAGAGGCGTGCTTCATTGACCGGGGTATGTGGTGTGATCCAATAAGAATGAGGCACGTGTCATATCGTTTCTTTGGCGGCTAGCTCATTCCTCCGAATCCACACCAAACATGTGCTCAATGAATAAAGTGCTTCACCGATAAAATAATAAATTCAAAGCATCGTACTCGTACCTCAGAAAATCAGAAAGGAAAAAAAAAAAAAAAAAACCGACTAATGACATCGTTGTACACTGATGAAAAGGTTAAAATTCTAATAATGCATCCACATTCCACAATTAAACAAACAATAATAATATGTTCATTTTAAAAAAAATAAATTTATTTTTTTATTAAAAAACTTAAAATTTAGTATTATGCAAGCATCTATGCATATAAATATAATAATATAGCAAATACAATCAAAAAAGTTGGCAAAAAAGGCAACGAAATATTTAATTTTAGACTATATTATTTTTTCATTTGATTAATGATATAATATGAGAATTTTAATCTTTTAGAATATATAATAAAAAGAATATTCAATTTAGACTACATTGCTATTTTTTAGATGATTAATAGTATAATATGAGAATTTTAATTTTTTAAGATATGTATTAAAATTTTTAAAATATAAAATAACATTCACGCCCTCTTAAAATTTTAGAGCGCTAATCCGTCCATAAAGTTAAATGACAAGATTCCAAGACTTAACTATCTTAATATATAAAATTTAGCACTCTTAAAAACTCTAGAATCATGTGCTTGGTTTGTCACCGGTATGAGTCCGAAGACATGTGATTACTATAATTATTTATTAGAATAAATATATGAGTAGCTAATATATTATGATTATGGATCTACTTATCGAAATTTTTTATATGACCCATTGCATGAAATATCCAAAAATAACATATGAAATATGTTAATATCAAGGGTGAGTCATGTTCAATAGGATATATCCTATGAAAATCACCTCCAAAACTAAATGTGTATGAAATGTCGCGTGCATAAACCATGTCAAGCATTTATTTGATTATATATACATATCATAAATGAATGCAAAATTCTATGTCATGCTATAAGATGAGAATTCACGCATATAATACAATCCTAAGCTCCACAAGTTTCCATAACACATGTTATGTCATGCGTATGTATCCGGATATTTTTAGCTCTCGTCACTAATGTTAGACATTCAATGACTATTTTATAAAAATTTGTCTTTTTGGAGTGGGTATTCATGGACTCACACCAATGGTCACCCAACCAACACGGAATTTATAGACTTTTACCGACAGTTTCTCGAATACCAACATACTTTATGAACTCAATACCAATGAGAGTGCGTATCCGAAATTACCAAGTCTTGCACCCAACGGAAAATTTAGTCCTTCTTTCTATCTCCAACACTCTTTTTAATGCAAATTTGTGCGACTTAGCCAGACCTAAATCCAATTTTTTGAGCCCACGTATCAAACCATTAAAAATGGTGTACGATTAAAAAAAATGCATACACACTCACATACATGTCAGATGCCTAGGAATGCGATGCTAACTGTGTATATGCAAATATAATGTATAATTGTAATCAGATTTTTTTCTCATTTTTACATCAGATTTTCTAGATAGAAAAAGAGAGAAAAATCAAGAAATCTCTCAATTCTCCTTGTGATCCACAACTATCCATTCGTCGAATCGCTTCGGGCCTAAAACAAAAGTTGTTCTATGCGACGAGATTTACAAGCACATACCAAAAATTACAGATTTCGTCAAAATCTTAAGAATGAGATTGTTGGGGTCAAAGTTTTGAAGCTTGATTTGGGTATTTTGAAGCTTCTGCTATGTGTATTATGCTTCAAGAGATAAGATTCTTCTCCTAGTTAGGTTTATTTTTAACCCAAGGTTGCATATGAGATGAGTAGCATGATTGGAAAAGAAATCTCTTGTTTAAATATACTCGTAGTGTAACTAGAGTATGAGAAATGGTATAAGAATGTGTAAAATTAATTCTAACATGAATTGAATTTGTTAAAATTATTTGTATGTGATTTTCATGAGGAATGTAATGAATTGGTCATGTTATGTGTTTACATAATTTTGGTGTCATGTTGGTGTTTGAAAAAATGCCTTGGAAAAGTTTAGTATATTTGAATGAAATTAATATAACATGTTTTGATAATGTAGGAATTGTCATTATATACTTATGATATAATTAACAATTTATGAATTTGGAAAATATTGGTTGAGATGGAATATTGTTCATAATGTGCTCTTGACATATTGAACATAACATGGAAATTGCAATTGTACATTACATTGCTTATGCATAGGAAGCATGATATTCATGGGCATGTGACATGAGTATGGGTGTGTGCATAGTTTTGCTCAAACACCATTCTTGGTGGGTTAATATGTGGGCTTGGGAATGTTAGACCTAGGTTTAACTAAGTTGCACGGGTTGCATTGAAAATAGGGTCAGGGTTAGCAAAAAGGGCTAGATTATCCCTCGGATATAAGACCATGTGACTTTTGATACGCACTTCATTGGTATTGAATCCATAAAGTGTGTTGGCGTACACAAAGCCATTGGTGAAAGTCCATAGATGTCCTATCAATTGGGTGTCTGTTGGTGAAAGTTCATAAATGCCCATCCCAAGAAAGAGCCATTATTTATAAATGGTTATTGGATGTGCAACATCAATGGTGGGGGCTTGGAATGCCCAAATGCATACGCATGACATTGTATATGGTATGGGAGCCGGTAGAGGGCTCAGGTAGCATTACATGTGTGAGTGACATCTCATGACATGGCATGGCATGGTTAAATCCATTATGAATTACATATTCTTGAATGGATATTTGATTGTTTGTCGAATTGTATGTGAACATTTCATATGCATTTGGGTTGGGGAGTAGCCTTTTTAGCAGATACCCTATTGAGAGTGGCTCATTCTTCATGGGAACAACATTTCAAGTGTGGGACAAATGCCGAGGGCAGCTCTCACATGGGCCCTTGCTGAGAAGAAGTCGGAATGTGACTTTTAAATTACATTTTTGAAAAACAATTTTGTAATTTGTTTTGAACTGTAAATTATATTAAGAGGACATATAATAAACTCTTATGAACTGTATTTTGTGTATGAATGAATGCTATATGAGTTTGGATGAACTTGGAATATGATTAGATGATTAAAGGTTGAAGATTAGAAAGAATTGAAAAAATTCTAGGCCTAGGTATCGATACCTAAGTGATTAAATATTAGTACCATGTTATTGGGAGGCCCAGGTACCGTTACCTCGACATACGATTACCAGTACCTGAATTTCAGTGGGCTTAGGTACCAGTGCTAAGGCTTAAGGTACAAGTAGCTAGATGGGCAATAGGCTTAGGTACTGCTATCTCATCACATAGGTACTGGTATCTGACAACTAGAATGAACTTGAAAAATAAAGGTCCATGTACCAGTATCCCGTTACTCAGGTACCGTTAGCTGATAGACCGTAGGCTCAGGTACTACTACCAATTGTAATAAGTGTCAGTACCTCTTTGAAAATTTTAAAAAATGTAAATATAACTTGCCAAGCCTTTGAGCCTAGAGCCTTCTTGTTTAAAGGATGTAATTGGTTCAATATTAAGTGTAAACTGATGGGGATTGTAACTTGGAATGGTCAAGCGATTAATATGTACACAAGTTATACGTTTGGGAGTGCTTCGATGCAAGGAAAACCTTGTCCAAACTCTATATGGGTAATGATCTTAGTGAAGGAGATGTGATGACGTGGTGTCAGATTATGCAGCATGCACGGGTAATTTCATGGGTTGATGGATGATCAATGGGTTGAGAAAGGACCCCGAGTTTTGGGACGTCACAACTTAGTATTAGAGCTTAGGTTTTCGATTTATCTAGGGCTTGCGGAGATTGAGTCTAGGATATTGCATGCATTATGCATTACATGTTATATGCTCTAAATGCTACATGTTATATGCTATGCGAATTATATGCATGATAATGTGTATAGAAATGAGACTTTAGGGTTAGAAAACATAACCTTGTGAGGTCAAAAAAGAAAGAATAGAAAGGTTCAGGGTATGAGTGCCTACTAGTGGGTGGCACGCATCCTACTAGTGAGACAAGGAGAGAAATCTCAATATTTTGACTTTGATCCCTAACTTTTGGATACTAATTTAATGCTCTATTGATATCTTATATGTTTGTAGATGACAAATAGATGAAGAGGACACAGAAATGGTCAAGGAGGTGGGACCAACCACCATCAGCCTTCATGGAGGCTATAGGCACAATAACTGCTACATTTGCACAAGATAGCACCAATGTGGGCCAAGGGGGCCGAACAACCTCCAACAGTTCAAGACACACAAGCCACTAAACTTTCTGGGAAGGGCGGATCTAATGGTAACTGACCATTGGTTCCAACAAGTTGAGAAGATCTAAGAGGCTATGGAGATCACATTCGATGCCACTAAGATAAGGTTAGCTGTGTTTTAACTTGAGGGAGATGCCCATATATGGTGGGAATAGGCAAAGGCCTCAAAGAATATAGAGGCAATGACATAGGGAGGGTTCTATGAGTTCTTCATGGGCAAGTACTTTCTATTAGCTGTTCGGCAAGCGAAAGTCTGAGAATTCTTAAATTTGAACCAAGGGACTATGACGGTGATGGAATATATCGCTAAGTTCACAAAGCTAATCTATTTTCTCGATGATTATGTGACCACAAACATGACCAAAGTGAGGAGGTTCGAGGATGGCTTGAAGTTGTACATCTGAAGAAAGATTGTGGGCCACTGCCTACAAGACTTGGACTTAATGGTCAAAATGGTCATGACCTTTGAGAGGAAAGTGGAAGACACAAGTTGCATCTGGGAGGTTAGTGCTAAGGACAAGAAGAAGAAG